ATTTTCAAATATTGTTGTCTAACAAACTAAAGTTTCTTTTCGCACATAATCTTTATTATATATCATCGCATATTGTTTCATAAAAAGAATAGAAATCAATGTTTGCATTACATTACTCGTTCTACATCTTCATTCAACAATATGCAGAGGTGGATATAACCGTCGGTAAACCGACCGCCGGTAGGCCGTCGGTCAAATAGCCAGCGGCGTCACAGCCGGAAAACCACCGGCATAAAATCCGGTTGAAACCGGCGGTTGGAACCGTCGGAAAACTGCCGGCTACATAAACCGCCGGTAAAAAACCGCCGGTGATAGTTTCCTATGCGATTTTTTCCGGCTGCACAAAACCCACCGTAAAGCCGCCGGTAGTTAAAAAAACCGCCGGTGAATATAGGCTAACCGCCGGATTTCGGCGTTTTTCCTGTAGTGCCTATTAGGAAAGTAGAGGTATTAGATTTGACTTATGTTAAGAAATATAGAGGTAGACCTAAAAAGACTTAGTTAGAAAATATCACAAATGATCTTTCTTTATTAGATTTAAATGAGAATTCTACTTTTAATTGGTCACAACGGAAAAAAAAAGATTCATATAGTCGACCGCACGTAGTGGGACAAAGGTTTGATGTTGTTGTTGTTGTTTTTTTTTTTTTGTCATTTTAAAATCATGAAATTTTTATTAGATTTGAATATTTTTATTTTCAAATATTGTTGTCTAACAAACTAAAGTTTCTATTTGCACATAATCTTTATTATATATCATCGCATATTGTTTCATAAAAAGAATAGAAATCAATGGTTGCATTACATTACTCATTCTTACACCTTCATTCAACAATATGCAGAGGTGGATATTGGAGATGTAATTGGTGAATAGATCGGAAGCTAATAGTCATTGTGTTTGATGTCAGCTACCACTGAAGGGCCGGAGATGATAGTCATAAGGTGCCGGAGAATTTCTTAAAAGGAAAAAGCAATTGGCCGGACTTTTCTTTGTCTCTAATGCATTTAGTTGGTGGAGTGGTGCTGATGTTTAGAGAGAGGAAAAGAGGGAAAAAGAGGAGAATATTATTAAGATAAAATTAGAAAAAAAAAATTTAATTACTTTTTCATTCTCTTGATCATCATTCCTCTCAAATGCATACTTTCTCTAGCACAGTTTGTCAAGACTGTGACTAATTAAATATTATTATTATTATTATTAATGAAACTTAGATATGTAACTTAGGCAGAACAAGAACAAGATTAACTTAAAACAAACTTTGTTTGAGACGGTTTTCTTACTCCTCCTTAAAGCAGCTTTCTAGCTTAATTTTTGTACTAAAAAATTGCTTTAAGAAGCAGTAAAAAAACTTATGGTTCCGCTTTTCTTTAGGAGATGGCCTTCTATCACTCGTTAAGGGAAGTTTTTTGTACTAAAAAATTGCTTTAAGATGCAGTAAAAAAACTTAACTAATGGTTCTGATTTTCTTTAGGAGATGGCCTTCCATCACTCGTTAAGAGAAATTCTAGAAAACTATGACTAGGAAAATTCTTAATCTATAGTATCTTGATTATTAAATTTCTTTTGTTTTTTATAATATCCATTCAGTGCCTGTAATTCCCAGTTGTTAATTGTTTGGTCAAAGTCCACTATTTTATAGGATTCTTGCGCTTTAAGTTTTCATTTTGAAGAAATAGTAACAGAGACTCAAGTGTTTGATGTATTCATTAATTCGTTTTAATACAAGACATGAGAATATATATATGTATGTAAAAGACTGTTCTAGAATGACAAAGTAGATAAGTGATGCATGACACTTGTAGGTGTGTGATGCATCTATGTTGTTATATGATAGTGGATGAACTCTTGTCCTTTGATGTCAGAATGTTGTTATTACTCCCCTTCAAGCTGACCGCCATGATTTGACAGTGAGCTTGTGACGAGTAATTGAAACCTACAAGTTGAGAAAGGCTTGGTGAGGATATTGTTAGTTGATCCTGTGTAGCAACCAGAATGATGCTGATTGTGTTGAAGTTGATATGGTCTCTAATAAAATGTTGATTGATGTTGATGTGTTTGGTCCTAATGTGGAAGAAAGGATTGTTGGCAAGAGCTATGGCTGAGGCTTTGTCACATTTGAGCTCTATTGGATGTTGTAGTTGAATCTGAAAGTCGTTTAATAGTTTGTGAAGCCAGATGAAGTCGGTTGTGGCTGCGACCAAAGATCTGTATTTTGCTTCACTTGAAGATCTAGCCACTATGTGTTGTTTTTAATACTCCGGGAAAGAAGTGTATTGCCTATACATAAATAGGTGGTAGATTTGGGAGTCTGCTTGTCGCTGGCCCAGTCGGCATCCGAGAAGGAGTAATTTGGAGATAGGAATTCCATAATGGGAGGTACCTTTGATGTAGATTAGCAGCTTTTTCTGCAAATACACATGATCTGAGGAGGGATTGTGCATATATTGGCAAAGCAGATTCACGGGATAAGCCATATATGGTCTAATGATTGTTAGGAAATGTAGTGAACCAGTTATTTGCCTGTACCGATGATGATCAAAAAGCAAAGGATCGGGAGTAGTGGAAGATAGCATTTTTTTGTAGGTGGGGTTAGAGAGAGGTTTGCAATGAAGTAATCCAATGCTTTGAAGGATAGAATTATCATAAGATGATTGTGACATGAAGTAAGATTGATCCAATTTTGCCATTGGTGATGGAGAGCAATGTCCATTTGTTCTTGGTGTTTGCTGATAAGAGAGACCTCGCCCTAGACGTCCTCTGCCGCAAGATGAGTATAATGTTGTGGTGGTTTTAGCTACCAAAATATGTTTGAGAGACTCGGCCTGAATATTAATCTCTTCACTAAGAAGTAGCGAATATAGATCGTCTAAGCTGATCGAATGAAGCGAATGAAGCATTGTTCGGATTGAAGTTTTGAATGCCTGGTGGGAAGAAGGGAGCCCATTGAGGGTATACAAAATGATGTCCTCAGTGTCAACTGTGGAACCAGCTGCAACAATGTTGTCGACAATGGGTTTTATCTCAGTTAGGTATTGTGTCATGGATAGATTTTTCCTTGTGAGATTGTGTAGCTCATTTTTGAGTTGTACTACCCTCGATCGATTGGAGGCTTGCAAGCATTGCTCAAGGGTATGTCATATTGCTGAGCAGAATTCAAGGTGGATGACATATGGAAGCACCGAAGGAGCCATGGTAGAACAAATGGCTGCCATGAGGTTCTGATCAATGAGGATTCATTCAGTGTATTGAGGATTGGTTATGGTTTGTCCATCTGATAGTTGTGTGAGACGGGAGGGTGGGTTGGTAGTGGGAAGAAGAAAAGCTGAGAAGCCATTTGCTTGGAGCAGCTTAGGATCTGAGATTTCCACATGGAATAATTGTTACTGGAGAGTCGTGTAGGGACTATTGTTCATATGTTAGAAATTACGAACTTCAGGGAGGCAGGGATAACGCAGATTTCTATAAAAGCTGCTGAAGGATGTTCACCAGTCTGTGAGGAAGAAGATTGAGCCATAGGGAACAGATGAAGGATTCAAGTCTGTTCTGATACCATGAAGAAACAGGAACACACACTCAAATCTTTGATGTATTCATTAATTCCTTTTAATACAAGACATGAGAGTATATATATATGTATGTAAAAGACGGCTCTAAAATGACAAATGTAGGTGTGTGACGCATAACACTTGTAGGCAGTGGCGGAACCCTCAAGGGCCCGGGGGGGCAATTGCCCTCGTAAAAAAATTTAAAATTTGTTTATAACATGAATTTTTAGGTAATTTATCCCCCTCAATCTTTTTTTTACTCTTTATTATAGGAATTTTTAAGCAATTCCCCCCCCCTAAAAAAATAAAAATACTATGATCTTTAGGCAATTGCCCTATAGCAGAATCATACATATTGTGTAGAGCTGTTATTATTACAAGGGTTTTTAGGCAATTTCCACCTAAAAGGTTTAAAATACTATGATTTTTAGGCAATTGCCCCCAGCATAATTAAACACATTGTATAGAGGTGTTATTGTTAGAGAACGATGAATAAAATACAAAGAGAATTAGTAAAGAGAATTGAAAAATATCCTTACAACAAAAATTTGTTCAGGGGGCGCTGCCCCCCGAATTATACATATTGTGGCAAGTTGATCCCGTTAGGGGGCGCTGCCCCCTTGAACCGCCAACACATTATGTAGAAGTGTTACCTAATTTTTATTTAAGAATAATTGTCATTATAAAGTTGTTGATGATATTTTTAAAATGTACTATATATTCAGGTACAAATGAAAAAAAAAAAAAAATTTACTTATAAATTTGACCCTCTGAAAATTAAGGTTGATTCCGCTCGTGCTTGCATTTAGGTGTGTGATGTATTTGTTCTGTATCTAATAGTGGATGAACTCTTGCCCTTTGGTGTCAGAATGCTGTTATTATTATATTTCACCAACAGATCTTCAGGGAAATTTGTTTAAAGCTCTCAATAATATGCACATGTGAAGAAAAACATTATTTTATAATTCCAATTGAGAAGTCATTTATTTTCAATCTTTTTTATAGCAAGAGTACCAGCAAAGAAAAAAAAAAAAACAGTTCGACAATTATTTTAATCTTTCTTCCAGCAAATCCTCTGCCGACAGCATCCGAGCAAGCTTTCATCAGGATTCCTAAAGAATTCTGATGTGAGGTCATGTGTGGAAAATCATGGAAGCTTTTTTATGGGACCATTAACTTTGACAAATTCATCGAACCATTGTGTTGGAGAGAAAAGAGAGAGGAAGAAAAAATCCAATTTAAAATCAATAAAAAAATTAATTAAGTTAATTATCACTTCAAGTTTTTAAGTGTTTTGCATAAAAAAATGGCGATTGTCAATCCACAAAATAAGCAAATTACCTATTTTTATAACGTGCGAAACTTTCTGAAAACGAAAGATTCCATTTTTGTTGTAAGTTGGCAAATGGAAGTCTTCATCAAAGACTAAACCATTCTATAAAGTCATCCTTCAGCAATCTAACTCAAACAAACAAAAAAAAATTTGAAGAAACAGAAAAATGAAGACTTTTTTGCTTCTGCTTCTGTTTCTTTCTAATCTCTTCTATAATTCATTTGCAGGAGACACGCTCACTCCAAATTCATTATTGAAGGATGGTCAAACACTTATTTCAGCTGGTGGATTCTTCAAGCTGGGGTTTTTCAGCCCTGGCAGCTCCACCATGAAATATTTGGGCATTTGGTACATGAAAATCCCTGTTCAAACTGTTGTGTGGGTAGCCAACAGAGACAGTCCCCTTTCAGATTCTTTGGGCAGTCTAAAGATCGGAGAAACTGGAAATCTCATCTTGTTTGATGGATTACAGAGACCTATCTGGTCTACAACGGCTACTTCGAACTTGAGCAATCCAATTGCACAGCTATTGGATAATGGCAACTTCGTTCTAAGAAACAATGACAGTATTTCAGAAAGTTCAGAAAGCTATATTTGGGAAAGTTTTTACAATCCTTCTGACACTCTTCTTCCAGGAATGAAGCTTGGTTGGAACTTAAAAGCTGGGCTCGAGTCGAAACTTACAACATGGAACAACTCTAATGATCCTTCTAATGGAGACTACACATTCAATCTTGATCTCAGTGGATCACCAGAGATGTTTCTACGCCATGGATCACAGATAATTTACAGGAATGGTCCATGGACTGGTTTTCAGTTCAGTGGAGAACCAGAGATGGATTCAAATAGCTACATCAGCTTTGATTTCATCTCTAATCAGGATGAGATTTACTATACCTACAAAGTGATTGATAGCTCAGTCACTTTCAGATTGGTGTTGAATCAGTCACAGCTCCAAAGATACATCTGGTATGATTCGGTCTCTTCATGGTCTCTTTACTGGTATGTTCCAAGGGATCAATGTGATTCCTATGCTGAATGTGGTCCTTATGGTTTCTGCAACTCAAATTACTCACCAGTTTGCAGATGTGTTCAAGGATTTAAACCAAAAAACCCACAGAATTGGAACTTGAGAGATGGATCTGATGGTTGTGTTCGAGTGACCAAATTGGATTGCGAAAAAGAAGATGGATTTCTGAAAATGAGTGGAATAAAGCTTCCAGATACAACAAAAGCCATAGTTATTCAGAGCATTAGCTTGGAGGAGTGCAGGTTAAGGTGCTTGAAGAATTGCTCTTGTTTGGCTTATGCAAGTGCTAACATCAGTGCTGGAGGAACTGGTTGCATTACTTGGGGAACTGAGCTGATAGATCTCAAGCAATTTATTGATGGTGGCCAAGATTTTTACATAAGATTAGCTGCATCTGAACTAAGTAAGTTCTGATTAATTTGCTTAAAATAGTTTCTGATTGAAGATATTGAATCCTCCATGCATAAAATTGATAGCTCTGCACTCAAAATCTTAGAAAAAAAAAATAGAAGATATCAGTAGTCCTCAATTTTCTTCTTTTTCTTTTGGAAGGTAGAAAAAAAATCTTTTCAACCTTTTTTTTTTCCTTCTTTGACAAGCAAGAAAGCTAACTCTATCTAGAAACAGAAATTATTGTCAAATATGTTGTGGATATGGAATTTTCTTCATCTCTAGAAGAGTTTATACTTAACCTTGAAATTAAGCTTTACCTTCAGCCTATTTTGTTGACTGAATGGTTTAGAAAAAGGAAGCCTCCCAGTTGTGATAATGATAGCAACAATAGAATAAAGGGGGATTCATATAAATGATAAAATTCTTATCATTTTACATATATTTAACATTTAAATCTTTAAATTTATTTATGTAAATATCTTTATTATTAACTTATTACAAATAAAATAATTTTTTTTCATGTATTTACTTTGATGTGATTTTAGATAAGAAAATATAAAAGTATATGTATTAAATATGTAAATATATAAAAATTATGTAGTTTGTATGCAAATTCCTTTAGAATAAATCATGAACACGTAATAATGCATCTATGTTCAAACCAATTTTTAACTAAAAGACCTAAGCTGATGATTGAGGGATAACTAATAATATCTTTTCACTAACATATTTTTCACTTTGTTCCTTAATCTCTTTTGTCTTTAGAACTATCCCTTCATGTAAGAGCTCCCTAAATTAAACCTTACTCAATCATAGAAAAAGGCATCACAATGGACTATTTTGCTTAAATAGTTTAAGTAAGCCAGCACAATTTACGCCGGTGGTTTCGCCGGTAATAACCGGTGGAAATTGCGTTGGAATATTTTGTATACTGACAAAAACACCGTCGTAAGATACGCCGGTAATGTAATGGCGGAAATTTCGCCGGAAATTCCTCCGTAACGTTGCCGGCGTACATTCCGCCGGTTAGGCCGCCACTGTTTCCGGCGCATGTGTATCCAGCGACCGGAAAGTCCGTCCGTATTAACAGATTTTCTAAGAAAAATTGAGCCCATCATGTATGTAATTATTCATCACATCAATTTTCTTTCTAATAATTTTCATCATAAGTAGGTCTATGTGACATGTAATTCAATTTATTCAACTCAACTCAAATTAAGGTTAACCCAATAACTATTTTTGACAGGAGGAAACTCCAAGAAGAAGCATATTATCATACTTGTTGTTGTAATTTTTTCGATGTTGATGCTTTTATTGGGATCTATTGGATATTGCTTATGGAAAAAGAAGAAAATGATGAACATTACTGGTATGTACAATGATTTTCCCTTTTGAGAATCAAATTTAAATTTTCTTCCAATTAATTGTTAATCTAAAACAGGTTATTGGAGAAATAAGCCAAGACAATTGTCATTTGATACTGTAATCACTGGACATTTGTCAGATGATGACGAAAGCAGAAGGCAGAATACAGATCTCCCATTATTTAATTTTGAAACAATACTAATTGCCACCGAGAATTTTTCGATTGCTAATAAGATTGGAGAGGGTGGATTTGGTATTGTTTATAAGGTAATCAATTGTTAATTATTGATGATCAATATAAGCTTTTCTCTCTTCATTTCAATACAAATAAATTTGATTTTATATCCTTTAATGAACTAGGGTAAGCTTGTAGAAGGACAGGAAATAGCTGTGAAGAGACTATCAAAAAGTTCATTACAAGGGCTTGAGGAGTTCAAAAATGAAGTTAAGTTGATTGCTAAACTTCAGCACATCAATCTTGTCAGGCTACTTGGTTGCTGCATTCAAGGAGAGGAGAATATGCTTGTTTATGAGTACATGCAAAATAGGAGCTTGGACACCATAATATTTGGTTTGCATTTTTTCCCACAAAACTCATTACAAATTATCAATAACTTGTAGTGATTAAATTCTAACTTGAACAATGAGTAGATAAAGCTAGATCTCCTATCTTGAGTTGGCCAATCCGGTTCAAAATCATCATCGGTATTGCTCGCGGCCTCGTCTACCTTCACCAAGACTCAAGGTTTCGAATTATTCATAGGGATCTCAAGGCTAGCAACATTTTGCTAGATAAAGAGATGAATCCTAAGATTTCTGATTTTGGATTGGCAAGAATATTTGGTGGAGAGGAGACTAATGCATATACTAAAAGAGTGATGGGAACATAGTAAGCATCATATCAAATATTCATCAATAGTATCATATGATAAAACAAAATTAGATGCATGCTAACTAGTTTTATTGCATGAAGTGGATACATGTCTCCAGAGTATGCAATGGATGGCATCTTCTCGGTGAAATCTGATGTCTTTAGCTTCGGTGTACTGGTCCTAGAAATCGTAAGTGGAAAGAAGAACAAAGGAATTCACATTTCTGACGAGCGAATAAACCTTCTTGCTTATGTAAGTGCCAATGTACAATGATATCAATTAATGCTGATTTGATCTTCTATGCTATTAAAGATGTTGATAAATAAAGCAGTAGAAATCTTCTAGTAATTACATGGCTAATATTAACAAAGTAACATCGATATTTTTTTGATTTCAGGCATGGAATCTATGGAAAGAGGGGAAGCTATTGGAATTATTTGATGCATCATTAGGTGGCTCCTATTCAGAGCTTGAAGTATTAAGGTGCATTCACTTAGGACTCTTGTGTGTTCAAGAAAGAGCAGATGATAGGCCATCAATGCCATTGGTGCTTTTGATGTTGTCTGGTGCGAACGTAGTGTTGCCACAGCCTAAGAATCCTGGATTCTGGGATGGTGAAAGGTCGAGTGAAATGAAAATGTCTTGGAGCTTTTCTGCAAATGATATGTCAGTGACAAAGCTCGAGGGCCGGTAGAAGAATGACCAAAGTGTTATTTGGCTGTTTCAATGTTAAGGAATCAAGAAAAGATATTATTGTTTAGTCTCCTCAGCTACAACTTCATATTGTTATAAGAGAATGGAGTACTAGTAGTTGGAGACCATCATAAAAATATTCTACTGGTTTTATAGGATGGTTGTACTTAGAAAAGTTTCAGTAAATATTATACAATTTTTATTATGTGCTCTTTATTGTTGTTTAGAGAAAGGAAACAAAGGAACAACTTTATATATTGAAGCTATCATATTATCCATATTAAGCAGCCATATAAATTTATGTATTATAGTGTATATATTCTTCATTTATCTTTCACTTTTTCTTTATTATTTTCTATTTACCAACTTTATGATTTTCTTCGTAATTAAATAACGTATATGATTGGGCCTTTCAAATATCTCACTATCTAATAGCTCTAGCTCTTGATTTTACAATTGAAGTCATTGCATTGCAAAAAAATCAGGTTCTTTTGTAGTGTTTTTATTATTTCTCATTTCCTTCTATTTTATGTTTGATTTGATGAAAAAGAAGTGCAAATATTTTGGTGAATTTCAAATTCAATTTGTTGTTCATTATATATATATATATATATATATATATGGAGGTCAACCTTAGAGTCTAAAGATTTTCATTTGAGTAGATCTAAAATCAAATACATGGAGTATAATTTTAGTATTAATATATCTAGTGGTGGGATTACAACTTTGGGCGATCAAGTCATTAGAAAGAGTCCACATTTTTGATATATCAGATCTGTTGTTCAAAGAATTGGTGAAATAGATAGGGATATTGTTAGTAGAATTCAAGTTGGATGGTTGCAGTGGAAGAATGCATCAAATCTGTTGTGTGATAGAAAAGTACCGCCCAAATTTAATGGAAAATTCTATAAGATGGTAGTGAGACCTATAATATGTTATGGCCAAAAAAAAAGGAGGGCATTAAAATATTAGCATATAGTTAAGTGATGTAGATATGGGCATGCTCAAATGGATGAGTGACTTTATACACAGGGACATAATATAAAACGAGCATGAAATTGAAAATGTTGGAGTAGTTTTAGTGGCAGATAAGATTAGAGAGACTCGCCTTAGATAGTTTGGTCACATAAAACATCGGTCTTTCCATAACCCGGTTAAGAAAGTAGATGTATTATATATGACCTATGTTAAGAAAGGTAGAGGTAGACTAAAAAAGACTTGGTTAAAAAAAATGAAATTATTTTTTTTATTATATTTAAATAAGAATCTTACTCTTAATAGAAATATTTTTGTAGCCAACCACACAGTGGGATAAAGGTTTTCTGTTGTTCTTATTGTTGTATATATACATAAATATATATGTAGGTACAAACACATACATTTCATATTTTGCCTATAATTGTCTAACTTCTTTTTAATATGACATATTTGTAGAGAGCTTATTAGGGATTGTTTTAGAAAACTCTAGTATCGAATCAACCATTTAAAAGAGTAATTATTTTATGCACTTACGAATCATCGGATGATTACTACTACTAGTTTAAACATTTATAGATTGTTTAGCTTCTATTTTGCTTTCCATTTGTGTGACTATGTATTCCTCACTTTATTATGTGACACAAAGGACTATGGATTACTATATCAAAATTGTGAGTTTAGTTATTGGTTTGAATGAGATTTTCTTCATACTTATATGTGAATTAGAAACTTCAATTACTTAATATAATTTTGATGATGAGTTATATGCTCGATGATGTAAATGAATAAAGATGATTCAATGACGCGTGAATTGATTAGCACAACAACGGTCTAGTAGTATTTTTGTGATCAAATGATTTCAATAATTTGGTTGCTGACTTTACTTTCATCATACTCACATGTTTAACCTCTGCGTGCACACACACACACACGCACACACACTTGTTTATGGGTCTTTTCCTATTTGGTCATTATGCCACCACCTACTTGATGATTTGAGTCCTGACCTTTTTGGTTATGACCACATTTATCTATACACCATTTGCATTTGTTGAGTCTTTCATACACATTAGATCTAGGAGAACTCATCGCGCATTGACTAGATCGATCGAAGCACTCATACTAATTTCAAGGCGCATGAGTAATTTTATTTCAACCTATTTGGTTTCAACGTATACATTGATCAAATATGTTGCCCATCCTTCATTTGATTGAGTGAAACCAGGATGTTCATCTGATTGAGTTCATCTCACCATACATGCAATTGTGATCTCCTTTTGATCGTGTGAGTTTGGCTACAACCACAATATTCATCCGATCACACACTTTCTATTGCAATTGTGTTCTCCATCGCATGAGTCCCATAGGAATTGATATATCCCTTCGATTATGTGCGTCTAACCTTAGGCCTTGATTAAGTTGATTCAATTTGATAGATGAAATTCTACACGATCAAGTTGATTCAATTCGATTGATTAAACAAAATTACATTCGATGACTCTTTCAATATTCGATGTCATGAAATACATAAAATATGTTGAGGTTTTGATTTTATAATCAAACAATTATATTGATTACCTTTTAAAAATAGAGTTAATCAATATGAACTACTTCGAATTTTTGAAACTCTAAATAAGCTAAAGATAGCTTGAATTGTTTTTTTAACAATTAACTCTATAAAATTATACTCATTTCTTATTTAAAATCTTACTTAAAAAATTTAATTGCCAAGACTAAATTATATTAAATTAAGAACATCTATTATAAATAAATAGAGGAAAAAAAGAGCAAAGTAAAAAAAAAAAACACAAATGATCATTGCTCCAAAGAAAATTTGTGTTATAATATTCATTTATTAAATTTAATATATAATTCCATTTATATTAATTTAATTATCTAATTTTTTTTAGTAATATAATAAAATTATAATTTTAAATTATAAATTCTCTTATTTTTCATCTTTTTCCTTTTTTTTTTTTAATTTTTTCTGTTTGATACTTTGATGTGACGAACAAATTTGAACGCGCTTAATGAAATTCGTGCACAGAACTATAAATCTCCATTTCCTCATGCGAGTGGATGATCAACGGTCAGACAATGAATCCGCATAAAATTCTATGCGGGTGCTACCAACTCCGTGATCATCGTCAATATTTTAGATTGGAGCAACAGCTCTGCAGATTTTAAAACGTATTCTTCTAACACGGATTGTTCAAAAGCGGATAAAGAGACAGAGTCAAATCAGGCTTTAATCAACCGTAGCATTTAATAAGAAGAAGACTACGTACATTTGCGACGCCATTGCGACTCTCTTCTTTCACCGGCTTGATTCTTTTAGCTGGAAGTTGGCTTCTTCGCAGTCGCGCTGGTAAAGTGACGGCAAGAAAGGAGAAAAGGAGCGGTCTTTGCGTAAAAGGGGGAGGAAGAGAGCGGAGGAAGATCCAAGATAGGTGTTTGGGGAGAGGAAGGGCGGCCGGTCTCATTTCTGGTTTTTGAGCTCTGGAGTTGCAGAAGATGGAATGGTAAAGAAGGGCTTTTTCTTCAGTTTGAGTGCCAAAGAAGAAATATGATGTTGGAGGGCTTCGATTCCTGGATCTTTACCCAGTTCTGATGCATTTTTGTTCAAGAAATATGGTGGAGTACTGATCTTTTATCCGTAATGTGTCTGTCTCTTCTTTCTTGTTTGGTTATAATTTGGTGTTCTTGCCATTTGTAGGGTTTTGTTGTTGCTGTTGAAATTTAAATTCACTTTTTTTTTATGGTTAATACTTTGTTTCTTTAAAAGTTTCACCTTTTTCATCATGTGGGTTTTAACTTCTTTCACTCCATTCAATTGAATGCCTGAATGATTAAGCCCTTAAAGCTCAAGGCACATTATTCTTCTTCATTAGCTTTTCTTTCCATCTTCAGCAAAAGCCTGGTTAAGTTAAACCCTAGGGTTCTATTTACACCCCAAAAAAGTCATTTTTAGGTGATTTTCTTATCTAATTTTAGGCAGAATTGTGGTGACTTGTAAATTTTACTTTTTCCCTCTTGCGGACTTTAATGTCTTCCACTTCATTCAATTGAATGCCTGAACAGTTCAACCCTTTCAGTCCAAGGTACATTTGGGCTTCCTAACTAGGTGTTTTTTTCCCATCTTAAGCAATATCTAGTCTACATTGAACCCTAGGGTTCTTTCTATTCCAAAACGAAAAGTCATTTTTAGTTTGGAGAAGGTTGAAGAGGCTGGAATGTAACTTCCTTGCTGTGTTTTAAACCTACTTGCAGAGTTCAGTTGGGACAAAGCCTCAGATGAGATTGCCAATTTTTCAGAGGACTGTTCTTTTGACATTGGTAATGATCAGCAGTTTTTATATTTGCTTATTCTGTTTAAATCAAAAGGGATTCAGAATAAATCTCAATGTGACAACGGTCGAAGTCGGGGATGAAGCTTATAAGTATCCCAGTATTCCGACAGCTGAACTTCCTCACATTCACTACCCAAAACCTACAACTTACACCAGGTAAGCTGCTGTTTTTATGGTTTACTTAGGCTTTGTTTGGGATGACTTTTTTATTGCTTCTTAAAACAACTTTTTAGTTTAAAAATTAAAATTTTTATGCTAGAAAGCTGCTTTAAGAAGCAGTAAGAAAGCCGTCCCAAACGAAGCCTTAGTTTAAGGGGTTTCTTGATTTCCTATTTAAGGTAGAATTTAAGTAAGATTTAGCTTAAATCCAATTGAATATATTTTGGGGACTTTAAATTCTATTATTTTGTTAAAATTTAAGCCCCATTTTAGTTAAATCCCAGCATTCATAAGATTGAACAGATTTCAGGATTTTTCTTTGACAATTAAATTTTGAAACAAATAGACAAACTGTTTATCAATATGTGATAAGATTCAACAATTGTCATATCAAACGATTTTCAGGCTTTATGCTCCCTAAGATTTATTGAATATGGATTTACAGGATTTACTAAATTCTATTTGTAGCCAAGCAGCTTCTAAATAACCACATTTTGGCTTATTTCTCTGATTCAAATCGCAGAAACGAGTGTGCATGCAACCCCGTTCGATACTTTGCAATTATATCAATGCAAAGGTCCGGCAGCGGCTGGTTTGAAACATTACTAAATAGTCACATTAATATCAGCTCAAATGGCGAGATTTTTTTGGTCAAAGAACGGAGAAGAAATGTGTCTACTATCATGGAGACATTAGATAAAGTTTATAATTTGGATTGGTACAGCAGTGCTTCTAAAAATGAATGCACAGGTGCAGTTGGCTTCAAATGGATGCTTAATCAGGTATATTCTTAAATGCATCCTAAAGTCGATTCTCGTGTCTTTTTGAAAGTTTTTTTTGGGAAAATGTGGGTTGTTATGTGTTTTATAGCCATCAGATTTCCTTTTAAATGAATGCAATATAAGCTTTAATTGATTGATCATGCATTGCACTCATATTAAAGAAAATTGGTATCCATAAACATTTTTTCTGACAATTTAGGCTCAGCTATCTTGCTCTAAATTTTTTCTATTGTGCATACAATATCAACTCACCCAAACTTTCTTTCTGCTTCAGTTTACTTAGGAAAGGTGTTGGCTTGCTATGCATAGGATCACCATACATTATGCTGTTCTTAATTTTTTTATTTTTTCTTATGAAAAATAAATCCTGTTTTCATTATATTGGTTTGAATGCTCTTATTTACTTATTGTTAACACTGATATGTGTAATAAACTCTTTATTATTTGCAATTTCGTAAGATTTGTTGATTAATTGTCTGCTAGGATGCACATACATGGATACGAGGACACTGAAACGACACGATACATTTACGAGACACATCTATTATTGAACATATATTGTGAGAACTGACAAGAAAGTGAAATGCCCTTATCCATAGGATATAAAAAAACCGTTGAGTTTAGAATATCTCTTTTATTCATAATAGCAATAAAAATTGAGAAATCAATGAACTGATGTATAGAAATAAAACTGGGTGTAATTTAAACAAAGAAAGAGTTCTCGTGAAGTGAGGGCATGCAAAACAAACAAAAATCACTTGATGAAACATGCTTCTGAAAGTGATCTCTAACCATTTCTAAATACTCACATTGAAATAAATTGATCCTTACCTGTGCTGTAATTGTTCAGCTCTTTAATTTCATTTTATTGACATATATATTGTATGGCCTGATGTTGTTGTTGTTGTATATATTGTAGGGCCTGATGGAGAATCATGAGGACACAGTTGAATACTTCAAAAGAAAAGGTGTTTCTTCTATATTCCTCTTCCGAAGAAATCTTCTTCGTCGACTGGTCTCATTACTTGCAAACTCTCATGATCGCGATGCTAAGCAATTGAATGGGACTCATAAAGCTCACGTGCACTCAAGACACGAGGTCCGGGTTTTCGCATCTTGATTGATAATTACCTCCAAGTTGATATAAATATTTACAAATTACTGCGCACTGTGCCAGATGATGTGCAGATACTTTGGAAAAGTTTTAAGTCAATTTTTGAAAATCCTGCAGACAGATTTCTTATTTCCTTCTCCATGGTGATATGCAGGCTGAAGTTCTTGCAAGATTCATGCCTTTGATTGATGTGGAAAGTCTAATCCCTGATATAAAACAAACCAGAAAATGGAGTACAGATATTCTTCAGTACTTCAAAGGCACCCGCCACATTGTCCTATACTACGAGGATCTCGTCCGCAACCAAGCAGTAAGTATGCCTTGACCTTCTGATTTCTTTTATCAATTTATTCCTACTACATTTGGACATTGTAATGTACAGTTTTTTAATGGCACACAATCTGAATTTACACATTAGCATTGCTGTAACCTGTTTAGCTGCCTAATCATAAGGATATATTCAAATTACTACAGAAAATGATGGATGTTCTCGACTTCCTAAGAATGCCACATGCCAAGCTCACAAGTCGGCATGTCAAGATCCACACAAGACCATTATCAGACCATATTCAGAACTGGGATGTAGTCTCTCAGGCCTTGAAGGGGACAGAATATGAAAGTTTCCTGCACTCTGACTACCAAAGAAAGTAGAAAACCTCGTCATTTGCTAGCTTACTAGCGGCTTCACCAGACCATCCTTTCCTAATTCAGAAGTTTTGATGATAATACATGGAGTTTGCCTACTAACCGTTCTGTTGGAGGTTTCTTAAGTTCTTTCCTCACACTTGTAAGACTTTCCATTTTGATGATTAACTTCTAATGCAATCGGCTAGCAAGTTTTCTCTTGAGTTGATTCTAGTATATATGTGCAAAGTATCGTTTTTAAGTTCAATACTAGGAAAAACAATTACTTGTAAAGAGTTCAGTAGCTCTCTTTGATTCAGATTTTATTAAATGCATTTCTTGGGGGGTTGTAAGGGATCAATACTAAGCTGGTTTTACACCAATTCAGATATTCTTTTGATAACCTAAAGTTGATTTCATCGTTATTGCAAAGCCTAAAAATCATCATGTAGTTTACTTTATTCTTCTTATCTTATCTATATTTTTGTCTATTCCAATCACTCAACAAAGAAAGGTTGAAGGTTTCACGCCCCGCGATGATACATCTAGGTTGAATACGAAGCGATTGAGATATATGCTACTAAATTTTTATCCCAAAATAATTTAAAAATTAACACAAATCAGTTGAGCAATAGTATTCTTAAAAATTTTCATTTATTTAACTACAATGCTTTTAATGCACATCAAAATTCTTTTATAGATATTCAAATTTTCGTCATAAATATGACTGATTATGCTTTATCAATTGTACTAAGAAAATATAGAATAGTTGATCAAGATACGAACCTCAATCAGGTTCTACTTTGTCTTTTACTTCCTGAAATAACATTCAACATAGTATTGTTTGAGCTTAAAAGCTCAGCTAGATAAAAAACTCTTAAGACATAAATTAATATTATAAATATTCAATTACACTCATGAATTAGTCTAGTGCATACCTGTAATCCTTAAAATTAAGGTACCTGAACAATGTTTGATTCAATTGTATGTGAAATATCTAATTGGGAGCAAAACCTTTAACAAAATGTTATAGCATAAAACATTGGCAATATGATATTAATCATGTATACAAGTTTCATTATGATATATTAATCTTTTTTTAATTTCCTTAATTATTTAATATAAAAGTTCTTATTTCAGCTTTATAATATATCATGTGTGTGAAAATAAGTTTATTGGTTAACATAAGCTTGAAAACTACATATTGAATATGTTTTTTTTTTCCACTTTGTTGCCCTAACTCTATAGGTTATCTTATTCATTTTAACTTGAGGATCATTTTGCCTCTATGTGGGCTCAACTTTATTGCCTAACCTATACATTTTATACATTGTCAACCTATCATATACATGATATTTCTTGAGCTTATTTTATTCATTTTTTTAACATCTCTATGTACATTTTATTTTTCTTAGAACATTAGATGCATATACTTTCAAAATTGAATTTGGTTAATAAACTTTGTATCCGATCAAGTATACCATATGATTCTTTATTCAAGGTTGTAGCTATTGGGGAATATAAAGGCTGTAGCCTTGTCCATAATTTGATAATGCATATCTGTGACAAAATTACCTTGACAGAGATTCTCAATTATAACCATTTATTTGTGGTGTCATTTGTCAACAAAACTACTGATTAGAGAGCGCATATCATATTCTTACTAGCGAGAGATTGTTTGAGAATCAATTTTAGTGATATTCTTGATTGGATATTTGCTCTTCGTGAGTTGAAGTTATTCTTCAAATAATTGCGCTTGATGTATAGTTGTAGAAGGTATATGAATTTTGCTTTAAGTTATAGGAGCTAGATTTCACTTTAAATATTTTGAATTTTGATAGATGATGAATTTAAAAATGTATTGGAATTTGAACCCCTAATAATTAATTTTTGAATTTGGGGATATTTTAAAAAATCATGTAGTCCTCTTTGGTTAATATTTTTTGTCAATATAACCATCATCGGGGTGTTAATCATTTTTATTTTGCTATTTGAACCTTGTTAATTTTTTCCACTTGCTTATAGAGGATCGAGTTTGATTAAGTTTGATTTGAGTTCATATGACTTTTCAATAATAGAGCCCACTCCGATTAAATTTTTTTGTTAATTTAGCCATCATCAGGGATTTAAATAATTTATATTTTATTATCTCATCCTTGTCAACTTTACCAATGTGCTTGCAGATGATTAGGTTCGATCTGAGTTCACATGCATTTTGATGATAGAGTATCCTCCTGTTGAGACTCACTTTTAACACAATTATCATTCGGGATTTAAATAATTTTATTTTATTATTTCAACATTATTAATTTTGCTTATTTGCTGACAAATGATCTAGCTTGATTTGAATTCACTTTGAGACTCACTTTTAACACAATTATCATTCAGGATTTAAATAATTTTATTTATTATTTCAACATTATCAATTTTGCTTGTTTGCCGACAAATGATCTAGTTTGATTTGAATTCACTTTTATTATGGCCATCATCATTGTAGTGTTGAAGTCATTTAAAATATTTATATTTACAATGTGAAGATTTGATTTTTGAGAATTAATCCTTCCAATTGTGATTTACTTTCAGCAGGACCATCATCGGGGTGACCTTAAATTACTTAAAATATTATATTTGCAACATTAGACTTAAAATAATTTGTCAAAATAATGCTTATATAAAAATATATTATTATTATTATTATTTAATGAAGTTTAGATTTACAGGTTAGGGTAGACCAAGAACAGCATTTAGCTATCAGCATTTTGAAGGTAGAAGCTTGAATGCTGGTTCCCATTTTTATGAGGAGTTCACTTGTTATCTTCTAAGTTCTAGAAAAACAATGACTAGGAAAATTCATAGTCAATATTATGACCAACAAAATTCCTTTTTTATTTTTTTTTAATTCAGAACCTGCAACTATCAGATGTAAATTGTTTGATCAAAGTTTACTATATTGTGGAATTCTTTTGCTTCAGAATTGCTTTTCACCAACTGAACTTAAGGGAAATTTTATAAAACTCCTAATTATTTAACAAATGTTGTGAAATGGACAACAACAACAACAAGCCTTTTATCCCACTACGTGGGGTCAACTACATGGATCTTTTTTCTCCATTGTGTCCGGTTAAGAGTCAACTTTTCATTTAGATCTAAAAAAGAAAGGTCATTTATAATATTTTTTAATCAAGTCTTTTTTGGTCTATCTCTACCTTTCTTAACATAGGTTAAATCTAATACATCTACTCTCCTAACCGGGTCATCGGAAGGCCGCCGTTTTATGTGACCAAATAATTTAAGGCGACTCTCTCTAATCTTATTTGCCACTGGAGCTACTCCAACCTTTTCACATATATGCTCATTCTGTATCCTGTCTCTAAGAGTAAAGCTACTCATCCACCCGAGTATCCTCATCTCTACAACACTTAACTTAATATTATGTTTCTCTTTTAATGGTCAACATTCTACATCATAAAGCATTGCAGGTCTAACCACCATCTTATATTATTTTTCCTTAAGTTTGAGTGACACTTTTCTATCACACAACAAGTTTGATGCATTCCTCCACTTCATCCATCCAACTTGAATTCTACTTCATCCCTTAAGTTGTGATAAGGACATTATTTTATAATTCTATTTGAGAACTCCTTAAAATTTTATATGAATTTTTTTTTTTTTAATATAGAAAAAGGACTAGGAAAAAAAGAAATCTAATGATTAATTAGAAAATCTTCAGTTGACAACATCTGAGCGAGCTTGTCGGCGCTCGTATGGACTTGCTAGTGCCTGCTTAAGCTTTTTGACCACAACATGGGATCCAAAGTTTGTGGGATCCCTAGTATTATGGTGTGTGGGGTTTACTTGGATGCTAGGAATATCCATGTTTGGGATCTTATGGGATCTTATCGATCTCTCTCTGTAGCATGGGATTTTAGGGATCAATTTCATTACATGTTGTCCAGTATTTTCTAATTATTTCTGTAATCTTGTTAAGTTGTGGGGCTTGATTTTGGCCCTCTTTTTATTTACAATGGGAGGGGTTAGTTTTTTTTACAATGGTGCTGACTACTACATTAAGAAAAAAAAAAAAAAAAACTAATGTCCATTTATAACAAAATGAGCAAATTATAGGGACTTCTACATAAATTTAAGTCTTTTTAATGCTTGGAATACTTTGGAAGAGAAGTCAACAAATAGAACTCTTCATCAAAGACTAAAGCAGCCTATTATTATTTACTTAAGAACATTATCAAATAAAAAAAAAGCAGCCTATTAAAGTCTTCCCTTTAGAAATCTGATTTAGTGCCAATTTTCAGACAAAAAAGGAAAAAAAAAAATAATAATAAAAGAAGGGAAAACATGAAGGTTTTCTCACTTTTGCTTCTTTTCTTCTCTTATCTCTTCTATAATTCATTTGCAGGAGACACCCTCACCCAAGTTCATTATTGAAGGATAACCAAACACTTGTATCTGCTAGTGGAGTCTTTGAGCTCGGCTTTTTCAGCCTTGACAGCTCTAATATGAAATATTTGGGCATTTGGTACAAGAAAATCCCAGTTCAAACTGTTGTGTGGGTAGCCAACAGGGACAGTCCACTCTCAGATTCTTTTGGTAGTCTAAAGATTGGAGAAGCTGGAAATGTCATCTTGTTTGATGGATTACAGAAAGCTATCTGGTCGACCGCAGCTTTGTCGAAATTGAGCAATCCAGTTGCACAACTTTTGGATAAAGGCAACTTTGTTCGAAGAAATAGTGACAATGTTTCTGAAAGTTATATTTGGGAAAGTTTTAACAGTCCTTGTGACACTCTTCTTCCAGGAATGAAGCTTGGTTGGAACTTAAAGGCAGTCGAAACTTACATCATGGAAGACCTCTGATGATCCTTCTAGTGGAGACTATGCATTCAAACTTGATATTGGTGGATCACCAGAGATCTTTTTACAGGAATGGTCCATGGACTGGTTTTCAATTCAGTGGTGAAACAGAGATGGCTTCAAATAGTTACATCAGCTTTGATTTCATCTCTAATCGGGATGAGATTTACTATACCTACAGAGTGATTGATAGCTCCACTTCCAGATTGGTGATGATTCAATGTCTTCATGGTCTCTTTACTGGTCGATTCTGAGGGACCAATGTGATTTATATGCTGAATGTGGTCCTTACTGAACTGGATTGCAAAAATGGAGATGGATTTCTGAAAATGAATGGAATAAAGCTTCCAGATACAACAACAGCCATATATATTCAGAGCATTAACTTGTAGGAGTGTGGGTTAAGGTGCTTGAAGAATTGTTCTTGTTTGGCTTATGCCAGTGCTAATATCAGTGTTGGAGGAAGTGGTTGCATTACTTGGGGAACTGAGCTGATAGATCTCAGGCAATTTGTTGATGGTGGCCAAAATTTTTATATAAGATTAGCTGCATCCGAACTAAGTAAGTTCTGATTAATTTGGATGAAATAGTTGCTGATTAAAGATATTAAACTCTTCCTGCATTCCGAAAAAAATTTAAAGATCTTATTTCTCGTCAATTTTCATCTTTTTCAGGCTAGTAGTTCCTCTTTTGAAGTTTTTTTCTTCTTTGACATTAACTCAATCTATAAGCAAAAGTAATGATTAAACATCTTTTTGTTAGACCGGTCCAACTGGTCCCATAGGGATCGGTTCAGACTGACAGAGGCGGAGAAATCCCACCTCTCCCGTATGCCGTCTAAACCGTAGAAGTCGGCATAACTTTTTGGGAAAGAATTTTGAGGGATTTGGGAGGGAATTTTGAATGTAGGGACTGTTTAGAGAATTCTTTTTGAATTGTATGCATTAAATAGTTTGTTTTCCTAGGGTTAGGGTATCTTAAATTTGGCTGAAATTTGAGATATCTTAGGTTTAGTTTTCCTTTGGGCTCTGGCGGCATCCAGAGAATTTGGGAGAGATCAATCCTCCTCTCGAATTGAGGATCAATTGTATCTTGCTATTTTCCATTTCTATTTCATCAAATAATACAAATTATCTACTATTTTCATTATTTTCGTGGTTTTGTGTGGAGTAATCTTAATAGGAAATATTTGAGATCTATAAGTGTTTCCTATCATCACTTCTCGTATTAGAAAGAACAATTCTTCAAGCATATTGTTAGACCGGTCCACTCAAAGGGGATGAAATTTATGAGACAAGTAAATCAGTTTATTTCATTCAAATCAAGGTTAACCCAACCATTAATTTTGACAGGAGATAACTCCAAGAAGAAACATGGAATCATAATTGTTGTGGTAACTTTTTCTATGCTGATGCTTCTGTTGGGATCTATTGGATATTGCCTCTGGAAAAAGAAGAAGAACATTAACGGTATATAGAATGATTTATCCTTTTGAGGATCAAATTTGAATTTTCTTCCAATTAATTTAGCAATCTAAAACAGGTTGTTGGAGAAAGAAGGCAAGGCATTTGTCATTTGATACAATAATCACTCAGCAAGTATCAGATGATGAAGGTAGCAGAAGGAATAATACAGATATCCCATTATTTGAATTGATGACATAAAATGTTATATAGATTATCAACAATAAACACTTTGGTTACCTTATAAACTATACCAAATCCAACCAGTTTTGAGTTGGTATGTTTTGATGAAATAGGGTAAGCTTGAAGATAATCAGGAAATGGCTGTGAAGAGACTATCAAAAAGTTCATCGCAAGGGCTCGAGGAGTTCAGAAATGAAGTCATTTTGATTGCTAAACTTCAGCACATCAATCTTGTTAGACTACTAGGTTATTGCATTCAAGGAGAGGAGAAGATGCTCATCTATTGAGTACATGCAAAATAGGAGCTTGGATACCATAATATTTGGTATGCATTTATCCTTAAAGAATTCATCATAAATTATCCAAAGCTTTTAGTGATTAGATTCTTTCTTGATCATGGAGTAGATAAAGCTAAATATTCTCTTGAGCTGGCCAATGTGGTTCAAAATCATCATCGGTATTGCTCGTGGACTCGTCTACCTTCACCGAGACTCGAGGTTTCAAATCATTCACAGGGATCTAAAAGCTAGTAACATTTTGCTAGATCGACAAATGAAGCCTAAGATTTTGGATTTTGGATTGACAAAAATATTTGGTGGAGAGGAGACTAATTCATATACTAACAGAGTAGTTGGAACATAGTAAACATCATATCAATTTGCATCCACAATGTCATCTGATGAAACCAATTTCAATGCTAATATGTTTCATTTGCATGCAGTGGATATGTCTCCAGAGTATGCAATAGATGACATCTTCTCGGTAAAATCTGATGTCTTTAGCTTCGGTGTATTGGTCCTCGAAATCATAAGTGGCAAGAAAAACAAAGAAGTTCATATTTTTGATCAATGCTTGAACCTTCTCTCTTATTGAAGCACCAATGTTATCAATTATTAATGATTTGATGTTTTATGAAATTGCTATTTAAAGATGTCAATCAAATAGCAGGACATTGCATGATAGATATTTGTTAGGCCGGTTCAGGTGGAACAGGCCCAACCGGCCCTTTCTGGGCCGGTTCGGTTCTATAGGAGGCGGAATAATACTGCTTCTTGTATGTCTGCCGCTCAAACAAGGCGGGCCCACAAATATAATTAACTTAATAATAGGAAGGAGGCAGCAACTAATTTTTGAGAGGGAATTTTTGAATTAGAAATTATTGCACTAAATAGGCATGGGATGCTAGGGTTAGGGCTATGCTAATTATTGTATTCTTTTGGAATTTTCTTGTGTTTTGGGCCCTAGATTCATCATATAGGGATTGGGAGAGAAGATCCTTCTCTTGAATTGAGAATACAATTGTATCTTGCTTCGATTCTTCCTCCGTTTGTGAGAATTCTTGCAATAGAACTATTTGGTGTGATTTCCTTCTCAGATTTTGAGTTTGTTCGCTGATTTTGTCTCTATCGATAGAAATACTTGATATCCACAAGTATTTCTTATCAATATTATTGAATTAATAATGTTGTTATTCTAATTTCAGGCATGGAATCTATGGAAAGAGGGGAGGACATTGGAATCGATTGATGGATCATTAGGTGGCTCCTCTTTAGAGCTTGAAGGGTTGAAATGCATTCACTTGGGACTCTTGTGTGTTCAAGAAAGAGCAGACGATAGGCCATCAAAGTCGATGCTGTCAAGTGACAACATGATGTTCCCACATCCTAAGAATCCTGTATTCTGGGATGGTGAAAGCTCGAGCGATATGAAATTGTCTTGGAGCTTTTCAGCTAATGAAGTGTCAGTTACAAAGCTCGAGGGCCGGTAGAGGAGAGGAATGAACTGAAGTGTTCTTTATTCTTTCCATGTGAAGGCATGGGCGGATCCCCATTCACTTGAGGGGGGGCATTTGCCCCCCCTCAATTTTTTTTTTTTTTTAATTTTAAAGGGTATAGTTTGAAATATTTTGGATATTTTAGGTATTTTGCCCCCTCTCAAAAAATTTTTTTGCCCTCATTTTATCAATCCTAAGCATTTTTGCCCATCCCCCACCCAAATTTTTTTTTTTGCCCACCCTAAAAAAAGAAGCTGGATCCGCCCCTGTGTGAAGGAATCAAGAGTAGACATAGTTGTTTCAGTTTGAAAAGAAGAAGGTCCAGCACTTTTACTATTCTGCTGTTGGAGAGAGCATCATAAAAATTCTCTCTTTGCATTACATTTGATTTGTATAAGCTATGTGTTGAATTCTTATGTGCTTATTAGTGCTGAAAAAACTATATAAAATTCATAATAAATACAAAAATTACATTATAAGTTTACTTAATAAATAAATATAAGATAAAAGCTAATTTTGCCTATTTAATAACACCTCTTTATGAGTTTAGTTAAGCAGATTAGATAAATGGTTCGGTGAGCTAACGAGTCAAATTTGAGCTAATCTTAATTCATTAGCTAAATTTGAGCTAATCTTAATTCATTAGCTAATGAGTTGATTAGTTTAAATAACTATAATGTAAATTACACTTAAAATATGTTAGTATTTGGGAGTTTAATTATAAAGTTATTAAAAGTTTTAAATTTTTTTATATCAAAAGATTATTTGTTATTTTAATTTTTCATTATCTTAATAATTTTATCATAATAATTGATTGAATAATAACCATTATCTTAATAATTTTGCTGATTCAAATTTGTAGAATAAAACTCAATCTTGAACTTGATTAATTAAGTTTCATAGATTTTTTAATTTATATAGTCTTGTCTTTAAACTTTTTAATTATTAATGCTAAATCTATTACTTGCGTTGTTAGAGATTTTTAGGCTTCGTTTGTTTTTTGTGCTTTTGTAAAAGGTAGTTTTAAAAAACATTAGTTCAGAAAATGGAGTTTTCTAACGGAGAAACATATATAAAAAGTTTTCTCAAAACTGTAGAAAAATGAAAAAATGAAGTTATTGGGAACGTGATTTGACGAACCAAACAAAAAAAACGGAAAAGGCAAAAAAATGCTCAAAAAAACGAAGCCTTAGAGGCTTCTATGGTGTTTTCGTTTGATTAATTGTGAATCCTAAAAGAGATTTAAAATAATAAAAAGGAGTTTTTTTGGCCTATTTTGTTTTATCATATTTATCTCCAATCTTTGAACATTACTAAGATGTTCATTAATGACTTCACTTAATTCTGACTTAAAACATTGAATTTGGATTGACTTGATTATCATTTGGGCCAAATTCAGGTAGAATTTTTTATTCGGTTAATTTTTAAGTTGGATTCGGCCTGACTAAGAAACTCAAAATTGATTTGAAATTAACCCATTTTTTATTGAATCTTACTGATTTTAAAAAATTGCATGATCTATATTGTAAATGAATCAAACAAGTCAGATTTATATCAGGTGAGTTCAAGCAACTTTGTTATTATCTTAGGCTTCGTTTGAGATAATTTTTTGTTATTGCTTTTTTTTTTTTTTGCTTTCATAAAATTTTATGGTAGAAAGCAGTAAGAAAGCTATCCCAAACAAAACTTTAATCTCATTTCAATAAATTTATAGAAGAGACAATGTATCTCAACAGAAAAAAACTGACGACAATAACATCAACACGAGTTCAAATAGGTCGAAATCAAGTACTTAGAAGCATAATTAAAAACTTCTCGAGACCATTTGAGGGTTAAACATCATCTGCATTTAACATACTGTCGATACTAGGGGTGTCAATATTTGACACTACTCGAAAACCCGACTCGAACCCGACACGAAAATTTCATGTTCGGGTCAACCCGAACCCGAAACGGGTCGGGTTTGGGTCCATATTTTCGACCCTTTTTGAATTTAGGGTCGGGTTCGGGTTGACCCGGAATCCCGACAGTGAGCGAAGTGAGCTCCCCTCGTTGCTTCCAATCAAAATGTTGTAACTTCCAATCCGACCGAAAGGAGTGAAGCAGTGAACAAGCGGAATAGCGAAGTCGAACATCAACTTGGCAGGTCGGGTTCGGGTCCGGAAAACTGACCCGTTTGCAAAAACATGACGGGTTCGGGTCGGGTCAAACAGTACCGGGTCAGTTCCGAGTTCGACCCGAACCCGACCCGTGACCCAAAATTGACACCCCTAGTCGATACAATATGAATTTGACAAGTGCAATATGAGTGTTCTTCTAATTTATCTCTGTACGTATCTTCCAACAACTTCGATGTGTTAAACTATCACTACCAACAAGAATATTTCAACATACAACAAATATATAGGTAAAATCAAAATGTATAATTGACATATTACAATTCTCAACTTATAATGTTAGCAGACTAAACACAAATATAAACTTCGTTTGGGACAACTTTCTTATTGCTTTCTAGTACAAAAATTTCTACTTTAGAAAAAATTTGTACTTAAAATACTACTTCATAAAGCAATGAAAAAGCTGTCCCAAACACTTCCTAAAAGCTTAACATTATGGAAGATGAAAAGAAATAGCAAACATACAAGTTACCAAATTGGAAGAAAAGCAATAACAACAACTAGTACAAAAAAGAAACTATTTTATAAATGAATTCTTTATTACCTACCAAGAGTTATTGTGAGTGTTACATTGTTTATAGAAGGGGATTCTCGCTTACTTGAGGATGAATCTGGTTTAGCTACAAAGCCTGGACATTTGGGTTCTGGTAAAAGCTCATTATTACTTGTTAACATCAAAATTATATCAGACATTAATGGTCTGTCTTCTGGTCTTTCCTGAACGCACAGAAGACCAATTTTGATGCATTTCAAAACCTCAGTAACAGAGTATGAGTTTTCAATTGTTTCATCAACTAGTTCCATGGCATTGCCTTCTTTCCAAAGCCTCCAAGCCTGAGTTCACAAAAGAATAGATTTATGTTATTCATTAAATAAATTTGATACTGAGTAAATAGAAAATTTTAGGGAGGCACTATATATTTTTCGAATGGAGTCACATGTTCCTTTATCAACCAACTGTTAGACCGGTCCAGCCGGTCCATACAGGACCGGCCTGCGGGAACAGAGGCGAACATTCTTTGCCTCCCGCTCGAGCCGTTCAAGCTGTAGGATCCAGGAGAGCTTTTTGGGAAGGATTTTTGAAGGAGTTAGGAGAGAAATTTGAATGTAGGGACTGTTAAGAGATTTCCTTTTTGATTGTGTGCATTAAATAGTTGGTTTTCCTAGGGTTAGGGCATCTTGAATTTGGCTGAAATTTGAGATTTCTTATGTTTAGGCTTTTGGGCTCTAGCGGCATCTAGAGATTTGGGATGGATGGATCCTCCTCTCGAATAGAGGATCAATTGTATCTTGCTATTTTCTTCTGTTAGTTTGTGTTCTTGAAATAAAATTCCTGTTTTTATCTGATTTTCCGTTGGATTTGTGGAGATTCCTCTCTGTTTTTGTCAAGATCGTTAGGTTTCACTTGAGATCTTCAAGTGTTTACTATCACAAACTTTATAGTACCACAATGAGCCCTCCAATGGCATCAATTACGATGCACTGATATGAATACGGGGATAACACAATACAACATTGAGAGGGGGCATGCATATCATTAAAAATATAGAATATGGGCATACATTTGACATGACATTATAACTTTAAAATCTTAAAAAATAAAATCAATGACATATATATCCAGCCTATAATGTAGAAGATGCATTTATTAGACTCGAAAGGAAATTAATCACTGTAATATGAAATAGATATATATGTTTAGAAGAAATTAGAGTGATTGATAAATACTCATAAGCTCTTTAGATATTTTTTATAACAATTATTTTTATGTTATTTTGCAAAAGACATATTATGTTCGAGGGACTATGATTAACGGACATTCATAAGTTCTTTAGATAATTCCCCTTACTATGAAACAAATTAATAGGATTCACTAAGTTAAAAGTTTTTATTTAATCTTTAGTATTTTTCATGAAATTTCAATTAAATTAATAAGGACATGCATATCGGTTACACATGCGCATTTTTTTCAATTATTTTTTAATTAGATACGTTTTAACTTTGTTTGACATGTGTTAGGTTAATATGAGTAGAATAGAGTCGAGGCTTAAGTGGTTAAGTTGCAGAGCTTAATTTTTATCCTGCAAAAAAAAAAAAAAAAACTTTGTAGAATTAGTTGAGTCACTGTCTTTATGTTTTCATTAAGGGTTGCCCTATTTGCAAATTATTTCATTAAAGGAGTCTTGAGCTGTTATTGTATTTTTTGTTGAATTTTTCTTTATTGAGAGAGTGATCTTTATATTGTATGTGAGGAATTAGGATTGCAATTTTCAATAATTACATTGTAGTGAAATCTGTAGAAACAGCAATAGGATGTGGCTATCATTGCCTGCATAAAATTTTGAGTATTATGCGTGTTGATTATCTTTTCTATTTTCTATTTAATTTTGCTCTAAGTGTATGAATAAATTTTGCATATTCCCCAACATAAGAACGGTGGCTGACTAGTTTGGATTTGCTATAAGATTTAGTCGGAGCTATGTGAAGGTGGTTGCGCTTGATTGGGCTATAAGAATAGCTAATATCTTCCTGAGTTGTTTATCATCATTTTAATATCATGAAAAAGTTGTGAAATGTAGAAAAACTGATTAAGATGGAGACTCAAGGTACGTGAAAATAAGAGTGAAATTCATCTCAAGATTACTTGAAAGTTGTACACTTCAAAAAAGAATAAAAAGATAATAGAAAGAAACTTACAAGTTAGCATACTTTACCTGTCGTAAAAGATAATAATAGTTCTGAGAGGCATAATAGCCCCTGTTCTTTTGCCCGCTTATGATCTCAAGAGTTAGAACTCCAAAACTAAAGACATCAGATTTAACAGAAAATATGCCATCGATCGCATACTCTGGAGACATATAACCACTGCATAGCAAAAAATAGTCTAAATTAAAAAAAATTAAAGAGCATGAGGTAAAAAAAAATCATTTATGCATTAATACACATAAAGATGGGGATGGGTGATGGGGTGGGCTATTTTTTTAGAAAGATAGGACGGTTCATAGTTTCTTTTTATAATTTAACTGCAAATATGAACCATTCAAAAAATTAAATCAAGTATGGAAAATGCTTGAGGACAAAAATTATTACTATAAAATATTACAGTCTATCCAAGCTAAGATATAATACTTACTATGTTCCTACAACTCTTTTGGTTTGAGATTTTGCCTCATTTCCTCCAAAGATTCTTGCTAGACCAAAGTCTGAAATTTTGGGCACCATCTCTTGATCTAGAAGAATGTTACTAGCTTTCAGATCTCTATGAATAACTCTTACAGCTGAATCTTGATGAAGGTATAGAAGACCTCGAGCGATTCCGACAATTATGTTGTAACGTATTTGCCAATTAAGCAACACTTTTTTTTCCTGGTCTGATCAGAAATATTTAATTTTAAATTAGAGATGGAATTTTCTTACGATTTATACTGTAGAATAATGTAGGTTTCTTCAATATGCACTCTACCAAAAAAAGATAGACAACTAGAAGCAGAAAATTCTTGAGCGGTTGTGTACCAAGATTTAAAGCGCTTGATTACAACTGATGTGCAAAGAAATGTTCTCAAGTGCAAAAAATGTTAAACATATTGACTTCATAGTCAGTTGTGCATAAATTGTAGTATCAAAGACTTGTGGTTTTAAAGGTTATTTTGATGGTAGCATTATAGTATAACAAATGCTGTGTATTTGATTAAGTATTATCTTCCTCGAATAAGATATTGCTGATTATGAGTATTTTTCAATTCTTTAACCATTAGATGGCCTAACATCAACACACTAAACCGTCAGCAAATTATACACTGAAGCCTTATTAAGAAAATTATCATATAGATACCACGAAATCAAATAATTGACATGTATTAATGATATAAATTACATAGCAGATGTTAAGAAAGCTAAGTCCCTTCAGCAAATTCAGTAAGATGCACCTTGCAAAAAAATTAATTTTGGTGTTATATAAGATAGTTGAGTACACAGACCTTGGGAGAGTGGACTACCAATGGTTCCAGATGAATCTTATTAAACCAAGTAAATAAGGAATAAATTCAAATAATAGAATATTGTAACTTATTTGCATATTTCAAAGAATAAATATTTATAATCCAATGCATGTAACACAACCTATGGGCAAAAGAAAGCATGCAATTCACCTAACTAAGGTTTCATTTGGGACGGCTTTCTTACTACTTCATAAAACAGCTTTCTTAATTTTTGTATTAAAAAGTTGATTTAAGAAGCAGTAAAAAAGTCGTCCCAAACGAACCCTAAGAGATAAAAATGGATATGAAAAGATTATACAGATTACCGAATAGAAAAGTGTCCAAGCTTTTATTTGGCATGTACTCATATATCAGCATCTTCTCCTGTCTCTGCACACAGCAGCCTAAGAGCCGAACTAGATTTCTATGCTGAAGCTTGGCAATCAGCATCACCTCATTTTTGAACTCATCGAGCCCCTGTGTTGAGCTTTTGGAAAGTCTTTTCACAGCTATCTCTTGTCCATCATCCATCTTTCCCTAAAAATGCAGAAACTATATAGCTACCATTTATGAAAATGAATTTGAGCAAGCTTGTACCATCATAAATTGCTAACAAATTAAGTTGTTCAACTACTTATATTCAAGTTCTGCATGATGAACAAAATCGTCCTTCAAAAATCTACTAAAGCTAGGCTGTCAAATGATGATGGTTAATATTGTTTAAATTATACTGCAATATGTTATCATATTTAGGCTTCATTTGGGACGGCTTTCTTATGGCTTCTTAAAGTAGCTTTATAATACAAAATTTAAATTTTTTGTATTAAAAAGCTGCTTTAAGAAGCAGTAAAAAAGCCATCCCAAATGAAGCCTTAGTCGGGGTACTGCCATTCAAGTTTAGATTTGAGAGACATTTAAAATGCGGTCAAAATAATGCTTGTAACAGTATTAAACTATTTGATAAGGACATCAGTAGATGATTTCGGTAAGTCTATCACAGGAGACGTCGCAGATAAATGACCACGATCAGGAGCATTTATTTATGAGCTATTTTATGTTTTTCTATTTTGTATTTTTGTATTAGTTTTATTATTTTAGTTGTGTTTGACCATTATACCCCTATGAGGGAATGTAGTGAGTTGTAGCCCGGAGGGCGTGTTTGTCTTTGTGTTTTCTTCTTCATGGAGGCCTATTTATAGAGGCCAAGACTTTGTATTAGGGATGATGGATGATTATTGAAAGGAAATTCAACTTTTGTCATGATCTCTTTGTGAGTTCTAGAGAGTGGTGGTGAAGCCTAGGAGAGGCTAACGGAGTACCCAACAGCCCACCGACGGGTGAGCTCTTGGTTTTTCTATTTTTTCTTATCCCTTTCCTCCCCTTCCTCCACCCACCATCTCACCCTATTTCGCTCCTCCTGCTGCCGACCAACCCACCTAGCCGATTCCCCTCTTCACCTCCCTAAGCCGCCGGACGCCAAGCACCCACCTGCCACCAGCCGTCCCCCAAACCCCTCACCACCGGCCCCTTCTCTCCCATTAGCCACCAACCCTCCTCTCCATAACCCATGAATTTTGAATTTCAAAATTCAAATCAACCCTTCATTATTTTCCTAAGATAATCCTCCCATTTAGGAAAGCTTATTTATTTGAATTCAATTCAATATTTGAATTCAAATAATTCCCTCCCATATTTGAATTTTGAATTTCAAAATTCAAATCAACCCTTCATTACTTTCCTTAAATAATCCTCCCATTTAGGAAAGCTTATTTATTTGAATTCAAATAATTCCCTCCCATGTTTGAATTTTGAATTTCAAAATTCAAATCAACACTTCATTATTTTCCTAAAATAATCCTCTCATTTAGGAAAGCTTATTTATTTGAATTCAATTAAATATTTGAAGTCAAATAATTCTCTCCCATGTTTGAATTTTGAATTTCAAAATTCAAACCCCTCATTAAGTCTTTCCTAAATACCTCATCACAAATAGGAAAGGGATTTAATTGCTATTCAATCAATTTTGAAATTCAAAACTCTTTCCCTATTATGCAAATTCAATTAGGAAACTCTCCCAATAAATAAAAAATCTGAATTAATTTCAGATTTGATTTAAATCAAGAGTTAATCCTATGGGGCACACAATTAATTAGCAAATCCTTAATTCCCCCATTGTTTGGCCGGCCCCCTCTCTCCTCCCTTTCTCTCTCCACTTGCCACATAAGCATCAATTAATCCCTTCTCTCTATTTTATCCTACTGTTTTAAAATTTCTACCTTTCTCCAATTGGGTCTGTGCCTCCCAACTCAAAAGTAAATCAATTCTTTCCAATCTCATTCTGTGTACCTCTCATCTAAGGTATTGATAGGTGCCACAAACAAGATTTGTTGTGTGAAGTAGATATAGGCACAAAAAAAGGGAGAGAGATTGATTAGTGACAGCCAACAAGTCTCTCACTCTCCCACTTGCAAAAAAATTTTATGACCTACATCTCAGAAGCATAAATAAGATTCATTTCAGTTATGAAATTGCATGCCAGATTAGCATGCTTAAAACTCTACTGGAAATTAAACTTACCATATAAACAGGACCAAAACCACCCTCTCCAAGTTCATTATCTTCAGAGAAATTATTTGTTGCATCAGCAATTGTTCCATAATCAAACAAAGGAAGATCCATGTCCGTATTAGTTGCAATATTTAACACATTTACTTCTTCAGATGAGTCCAAAGCTACATGAAATAATCACATTCACAAACAAATTAGATGAAACTCATTTGTAACATACTTTGATGCGTGAAGTAGCAGTAAAAAAGGTGGCGCTGAACAATAAAAAAAAGCATTCATCATAAAGAAATGAATGATAGTTGAAAATATGATCATACATCTTCTCTTCCTCCAGCAGCGAAATAGAAGATAACCGATAAGAAACGCACCAACGGAGAAACAAACCACAGTGGACACCACTATAGCAGTTGCTTTTCTGTTGTGAGATTGGTTTGACACTGCAATAAGAAAACAACAATGCAAAAAAAAAAAGGGTTAAGAGAAAGTTCAAACCAAATAACTTTTTGTTCCTGAAAAGTATAACATAGTTAAATTGCTTAGCCGTAACTTGATATATTAGTTTCCACTATATAAGCTTCATTAGATGCTACGTCTCTTATGCATTGACATATAGTGCATAAAACTTTTACAAAGCCACACCTCACTAAGAAATTCACTATGAAAATGAGAGAAATTGTACATATCTTCACACTCACTCTCTCTTCTTCACTTCATAGTCATGTCCACCATCTCCATATGCGAATACGAGTTTTTCACGAGTTATACTCCCCTTCAATTGGATATAACTCTTAAAAATGAATAGAAAATGAACTCAACTGACTTGCAACACCACGATGTTGTACTTGCAACACCTCAACGTTAACTTCAATATTTCAAAACGGATCTGCAGCGCTGTGTCCATAGTGCCTCGATGCAAAATTCTCTATTACAGAGAAGATCCATAGTACCTTGGTGCTATACAGTCAATAATTTTTTTTCTAGGGCTTTACCCTCGAACCCCCGAGCAAGGGACGACAGCCCCACTGCAACCCTCCAACGAGCTCCTCGTCAAACTCAATAGACGGAATTGAGGTCAAAGTCAACAGTACAATCCGATTGATCTACACAATTAGATTCCACAAATAACTAGCAGATAGAACTCATAAAAGGGGGAATTTTATATGAATATTAGGTATTATAATAATAATCTAAAAAATATGTTGGAATAGAAATACCACTAGTCGGGCCTTAATGACTTGTGAGTTTAACCTTTTAAGAAAAAAAATCAATTTGAGCACTAGTATTCAAGCCCAACTTTGCAGCCCCTCCATAAACATGTTCTATCAATTTGTACTAGAGTTAATGATTTGGTTAGTACCAATGTTTAATGTATTTTGTAGCCCTCATGAGTATTGGTTCCTTCAAATATGATTGAGAAGGGTTCAAGTATGCGTGACTAGCACACTGGTTCTATATTATTGAGCGAGTTATTGGCACCTATGATGCACCGACACTTTTCCTCAAAGGGCCGTCTAGTGTCCGACACGTATATGACATGACATGCGTCCGACACGCCTCCGACACATGTCAGACACGTTGAAAGCGTGACTCATTAAGAAATATTAAAAACAAATTGGACGCTCATGTCCGACATCCATGTCTTAAATATTTTATGAAATTTTTAAATATAATTTCTTGTATTTAAATTTTTTATTTATTTAAAATATAAAACTAAATTTCTTATTTCCTATCCACAACATAAAATCAACCGCCCGCACTCAATATACCATTCATCAAATATTCTGATTTTTATTTCTTTTTGGCGAGTCGTGACTATGGTTTCACAACAATGTCCAATGTCATCTCAACATCGATGTCTGACGTCGTTATAACATCGATATTTCAACCCATCTCAACATCAAAGTCTAACACTATTTTGACATTAATGCATGATATACGACATCGACGGCCGACTCTCAACATCATAATATTAATCATTTTAAGCACATATTCTAGTGAAATGACTTATTATTTATAAATTATTTTTAATATTATGCTTATTCAATATTTATACAACATTTTTAAACTATAAAAATTATAATATCGTGTCCAACCCGTCTATATGTATTATATTTTCAATAACTGACATATCCTGTGTCCGTGTCGTATCCACATCGTCGTGTCCGTGTCTGTGCATCATAGATTGACACATAATACTTTGATAATGTTGGACGTTTTTATTTTTGAGGGGAAGATAAACAAGGTGACAAAATGATGCATGAGAGAGGACTTGTATGAAAATGTTTCCTTAGTCCAATATCAAATAATTGAGAAATATATGAGGATATAAAAATACTTGTGGTTGGCCATCACCATAATCATAAGCTTTTAGACTAAAAAAAGATTTAATTGCTAGTGTACCAACAAAATTTTGATCCACTTTGATGCACATACCAATGTTAGGAAATATTACAACAAAATTTAATCACCGAGAACAACAAAAAAACAACCATCGAATAGAAGTTTAACACACAAATAACGATAAGAATTTTATACAAGTTAACCCCAGGATGCCTACATCATGTTGTCATTGCTACATATTTTAGTACGATTTTATTGTGGAGTTTTTTTTAAAGCCTTGATTATCTCAAGCACAATCTAAATGGTTCCACTCTCTTACAATAACAACAACATCAAGCCTTTATCCCACTACGTGGGGTCGGCTACATGAATCCTTTTACTCCATTGTGTCCTATTAAAAGTCAAATTCTCGTTTAAATCTAATAAAGAAAGGTCATTCCTAATATTTTCTAACCAAGTCTTTTTAGGTCTACCCCTACCTTTCTTAACATAAGTCAAATCTAATACCTCTACTCTCCTAACCGGGTCATCGAAAGGCCGCCGTTTTATGTGACCAAACCATCTAAGGCGACTCTCTCTAATCTTATCTTCTACTGGAGCTACTCCAACCTTTTCACGTATATGCTCATTTCGTATCCTATCTCTAAGGGTAAAGCCACTCATCCACCTGAGCATCCTCATCTCTGCCACACTTAACTTAGTATTATGCTTCTCTTTTAATGGCCAACATTCGGCACCATAAAGCATTGCAGGCCTAACTACCATCTTATAGAATTTTCCCTTAAGTTTGAGG